TTTTCCGTTGTACGTGTCAGGCATCTTGACCTTGATGTTCTCGAGTGCCTCGACCTTGTACGGGTCAGGCGCATCTGGCATGCTGTCGTCGTCATCGTCGTCGTCGTTACTGACGTCCTTTCCGGCTGACGGAGACGTGTTGAGGTTTGTCGTAGCAGTTCCTCCTGAGGTCCCTGGGAGGTTGACTCGGCTAGCCGAGGGGCTGGTGGCCGGTCCTGCTGCTGGCGGGGTGGTGGGAGCCATGGTGATAGTTTCGACTTAAAGCAGGTGCTCAAAGTGTAACGAATACTCAAACTGGCTAACTAAACTTGGCTGGGTGTTCGCTGGTTGGTATGCTATGATAAGAAGAAGACTATCGGGTTGTTCACTTGGAAGTGAATGTCACGGATGCCAACAAAGGATAAAGTGTATACAGCTTTTGAATCAATTGCTAGAACTAAAACCGTAGGTACGAAGAAATCAAACTAAAGAGAGAAGAGAATCTGAAAGGAGCGAAGTTATTTAAGTCGTTCCGATGCCAAGTCTCGTCACGTGCTTGGCCAAGCGAATGAAATCCTGTCAAATGAAATCCAGCTCCGTCACAATAAGTATACTACTAAAATACTTTATTATAACGTAATACGCTATAGTCATATTTTACTCGTAGATACGTATTATATAGAGCTAATAAGCGCTTTCTTTTAAGCCTATATAGAAGTTAGTATAATAAAAACTAGCCTTAATATACGCTTTTAAAGTATATATAGTACGCGCGGCTAGGTAAGGCTTAAATATATATATAAGTTATAGGAATACTAAAACTTACCCTTATAATAACGTAATATACTATAGTTATATTTAGCTTATAAATATATATTATATAGAGTTAATTAAGCGCCTTCTTTTAAGCTTATATAGAAATTAGTATAATAAAAACTAGCCCTAATATACCTATTTTTAGATTAGTCGAGCCTTATTTCTATAGCTTATATATACGTATTTAAGCCTTATCGTGTGACGGTTCTAACCGTCACCACCATTCGGATCACGTGGTCTCGCTTAGCGACCCACACCAAGTATTTAGATCGAAGCTCTCTCGAGCTCTCCTCTTCTCCTCAGCTTAGAATCTTTGTTTAATTGACAGTTCTACGATTCCACAACCTACACCGTGGGCCTTGCGTACGTGTCGTCACATATCGAGCCGCGTATATTATAAATACTATATAGGTATATATTAGAACTAGCTTACAAACTATAAACCCGCGGTAATCTAGCTTAGATACATTAATTAAAGAGCTTTAATTTATACTTAAAATTGCGATAATCGGTATTATAGTAGATATAGACTATCGCGTATAAATAAGGGCTATATAACGTCCCTGCTCGCACGTAAGTTAGAGGCTATTACTTAAATAATCCCTATTTTCCCTTAGACGCTGGATAGCCGTTTCGGGGGGTGGGATGTAATTAGCTAGGGGGGGTCGGGTCGGGGGCGGGGGGCCGGGGGGAAAATCGGCCATGTGACCCAGCGGCTAAGGGCTGAGATAACTAATTACTAAGATCCCTAAGAACGAAAACCACGATTTCGTGCCTTCTGTTTACCCCTTTAACCCATTACCTTTGTAGCTAAGTTTGCTCTAATAGATATATTCCTTAGGTAGTTGTTTAATACCAACTGTAAGTTAAAGAGTCTACAATCTCCACTGAGGTAGAAACGATTAGCGGGTGTATATCGATTAGCGGGTGTATATCGATTATCTATAGCATTACATTCAGTACAAAAACAAACTAAGGAGCCTAATCTTAACCATATCTAGCATTTCTCCACTCTTCACTTATACTCGTACGCAAGGGACATGATTACAAGCAAAACTATATCCACTATATCTACCACACTATACCATCAAAAATATCACACACCATCCACAACAAACCCCAAGCTTAAAAACCATCTAATCCAATCTAATCCGAAACTAACTCCTCCTCCTCCCGACCTTTAACATCAAGACCCCGATATTTCACCTCTACAAATGTGACAGTTTTTGATTTAGTGAATAAGGGTTCGCTTAGCGAAGTTGCGGGTGTACCCTTCCGTAGATAGACAAATACCTAAGGAGTGCGAAGAGCGTCTCTCTTCCCTGCTTGCGAACAATCTATTCCTTGATCCCCACCATAACAACAAATTACTATATTTCATAACTACGGTACCTCCATCATGATCTTCCACAACCCCGCTTTACACATGATTTTTATTGATATAACTAATTAAATTAGAGTTATTCTTATGAGAAACCTCCTCCTACCCTCGATGATGATAAGACTAGGGCTGAGTTTGAAGATAGGTATGGTTTATCTTAACATCCTTTAAAGAATTTAAGAAGTGAGATATAGTGCTAGTATAATATTATCTCGAAATAAAGTGTATTGATATTACCATCTATAGATCCTTCCTATCCCTTATCCTCCTCAGCAAATCCTTCCATCCTACAATACCTCCTCAAAGATTCCTCACCCAGAAGTTCCCTACAACCTCCCCCAACAACCCATAAATATATCCACATCTCACCCATCCAACCGTTACGGACAAGATCCTTATCCCCATCCCCCTAAAACCTTCATATCCCCTCCCTCAAGCTCATAGAAATACACTCTTCTTTCTCTTACCTCACAATCCCTAACACCCCCTCACCCATACACTCATACACTACATAACCTTACCCCACCCTCCTCATTCCAATCATTAAGTCGGGGGAATTCGTGGTCTGCGTCTCTATCTATCTACAGCTCCTAGCGACTTAGACGTAGACGTAGACGGAGACGGAGACAAAGACAAAGACAAAGACTCAACAGTACAATCCATATACCCATCCTTAAACCCCTCAAAGCTTAAAATCTCGCTACGCGAGAAGTACAAACTCGCTTTCGCTATATCACCTTCGTGCTTTGAAGGAGTGAGGTACTTCCCCATACTCCCCCATCCAACCCCTCCAAACTCCATACCACCACCTCATATAAACCCCCTTATCTCCTCCTCTCACTACACCCCTAGATCGCTTTCCAGTCCGGCCTAGACATATATATATATATACAACATCTACAGTACCTCCACATCAGCATATCAACATATCTATCCAACCATAACCCATCCCTCTTAACTACCTCTAGGATACCAGATACACCGAGTATTACAAGTTTTGGTGTATACCATACCATACCAAACTATTATCTTACTACAGACTAGGTAGGTTTTACTAAAGATATCGCTCTCGTCAACATCCCCAAAAGCGAGTGAAGCGAATCCTACATCGAAAAGGCGTGTCTGGTTCAATTCAAACGGGGTCTATAGCGGAGAAGGGAGTCTCATACTGTAGGTACCGTACAAGAACACCAGCTTACATAGATTGGGACTGGAAGTCGGGGAAACGTAAAGTCCGAGAAGGAATGATAGCGAGCTCGAATCCCGGAGAAAAGAAACCCAGGAACGATCGGTGAATTCAGGGAATAAGTGGTATTGTACAGTACGAGAAATTTTGAGAGCAGAACTTCCTAGATAAAGTTCCACTAGAAACCCCCCCCAACACCATAAAAAATCCAAATGCAGACTCTAAATCCCTAATATCCACAAACCAACGCCTTTTCCTTCCTGTCCCTTGCCATCCATAGTGTCATCACATCATAACATCATTAAAAATCACAACAACAAAAAAACAAATCAAGAACTCTCCTTCATCACCCCACACGTATTACACGTCCACCATTTATCCTCCATGACAGTAGTACACCTCTTACACGTCCACGTCTTCGCGATAGCAGGTTGCTGTCTCGATGGCATCGACATCTGCTTTGGTTTAGATACTGGTTTTTGCTTTGCGGAACTAGACTGTCTCTGGTTCTGCTCTGCGATCTGGATGGAGATGTGGGGTGGTCTTTCGACGGTACACGCGTCGCAGGAGAGGTAGTTGAGTGGGTTGTGGAGGGTGCAGATTTCGCATGTCCAGCCTGTTAGTATTGGTGTGGAAGGTGGGGGAGAGGGGTCAGATGTGAGATCTATGATCGATTGGGGTTTTGCGGGGGTAGTATTTGGAGTTGCCATTGAAGAGTCATTTTCTTGCGCGGGCTTTGGTTTTTTTGTGGGTGGGCAACTGACTAGACGACTGACATGCTTTGGGGGCTGTCTTGCTAGTCCAGTGGTCGCTGACGAGGATGAGGACGAGGAATTCGGATTTTGAGGCTTCGAAGGAGATTTCGAGGTCCCTACCTTACCACCACCGTTACCAGTTGGGTTTGAAGGGGTGGAAGGCACATATGAATCGCCATATTCCTTTTCCTGATCCTCTTGCACCAGTTCCCAAAGTGCCTGAGCGATCGCTCGATCGTTTGCCTCTTCCTCCTCAGCCTTAGTCTTGAACCCATTGGCCGTCGCTTGATCAGCAAGATCCTTGATTTCCCGATCGTCCTTCTTTTCAGCGCCACAGCCTTTCAAGACGGTACTTCGTCGCTCGATCGCATCCACAATGACTTTTCGAATATCAGTACCCTTGAGCACTGGTCTGCCACCAAGTCTCTGTCCAGATCCTGAGTTCAATGTCTTTCGTTTCTCTGCAGCTACACGAGCAAGTCTTCTTGCTTCATGCATAGGTAATCTTCTACCTCCCAGTTGGTGGCCTTGTGACAAGAATCCTTCTCCCGTGTAGCCCTTAGCTATCAGAGCCTCGTATTCTTTCCTTTGTTGGTCCCATAGCGCGTGAAATTGTTCATTGTGCGGACCGATTACATTATGAGAGAGCTCGTGGAGCATGGTATCCACGACCTGCTCGAGAGGTAAAAATTGATTGACGTCTCCGGGGTATCGTAATCGCAGGCATATTTTCTGACCTCTATTCATATTGATACCTGTATAATCAGAATCGCGACCAAACATAATAGGGGAGGTAAGTTACCCAGTAGATTCTGCTCGTTTGGATAGAACTCGGCCAGTGTACCTACCTTGAAGTTTCTGGCTCTCATTATGGGCTTCACGAGAGAAGCAATCTTCTTCAGAGTATGCAAAGCATCTTTTTCTCGAGGTAAGTTGTTCAGATGCGAGAATTGGCCAACTAGTGCTTCGTGCTCCATTTTGGATAGCTTCTACTACCTGCGCTGGCAGCGCTGCTCGATGTTGAGACTTTTCCTTGACTTGGTCGCGGGGTTACTTGCTGCGCGCAAGGAGGATGAGGTTTTTGATTTGGGAGAAAAGAAGGAAGGGAATGGAAGATAGGGGAAGGCAGATGACAAATTACATGGCTCTGTCGGAAGAGGCGAGTGAAAGGAAGGCCAACTCACAGTGAATGATAGCTACCTTAGCTTAGGTACCTATATGTCTCTGTCATCGGAAGAAGGCGATGACCAGGCTGATGACTTCGCGAGGGAGACGCGTTGGCAAAGTGCTGCTTTACTCCAACGCACGTCAGCTTAAAAGCAGCATCACTCTGTGTGGCTCAGCCTGCTCAGCCTCAGGGCCCAAGAGCTTGGGAGCTTTAGAGCATTTGGTAGATAACCAGAGTGGACTCTTTCATTTTTCGAGATTTCTCTCCTATGATGAGGTTTCGTTAGTCATGTCTAAAAATTCGAACTCTTGAAATCTGGATCATCGTCACTTCTTGTTCCGACTGTTATTAATGTTCCACCCCAATTCAGCGAGTCTGCCCCGCAGTCAGCCCTGAAAGTAGGTACTCGAGGTCGGTACTCGAGCACTCGTACTGATGGCCCAACCCCTCCTTCCCCTTCCCCCTTTCACCTCTCAATCCTCAATACCTTCGTTTCTCCCTATCCCGCTTAGAATTACCATCGAAACATCTTTATTATACCCGATTCAACCCCAGCACCAAATTCAAGATGGCAGGCTCTCACAAGACAGTACGGACTATCAACGCAACGCAACTCCTCCCTCACTAACCCCTTGATTTCAGGATACGCCTGAAATGGCAGCCTACAAGGAGGCATTCTCACTCTTCGTGAGTTCACTTTCCTAGCTCTTCTCTAGCTCTAGAACTAACAGAACCCCAAAGGACACAGACAATGATGGTATGCGATCCCAATCCTCTAAAGAAACAACTACCAACCCCCCCATCCAGGCTTCATCACCAAACAAGAACTCGGCGCCGTCCTCAAATCCCTCCAAATTAACGCCACCGACTCCGAAATAGAAGACATGATCAACGAGGTAGACCTCGATCAAACCGGCACAATCGACTTGGAAGGTCCTTTCCCCTTTTCGCTCCGCTCCAAGGTTCAAGCTGACGATGCTGTATTGTAGAATTCATCAAGATGATGAAAATCGAGACGAAACCCTCGAGCTTCGAGCAAGAAATGCGCAGCGCCTTTAAGGTTTTCGACAGTGATGACAGTGGACATATTTCCGTCGATGAGTTGAGGAAGGTGATGAGTAGTTTTGGGGAGGCGTTGAGTGAGGAGGAGATTAAGATTATGATCCAGGAGGTCGACAAGAATGGGGATGGGCAGATTGATTGTGTGTACACCCTTTCCTCTCGATCCAATTTGGGAACTTGGGTTGGCTAATATGGGGTGTGACAGATGAAGAATTCGTCAAGTTCTTTTTAGATGAGAAATGAGGTGGGTTTACATGGGGTGACGCTTTTGGACGGTAGGTTTACTTTCTTGGTATGTTTCCTCGATAGTCTGGCTTGAATGCTGGTTGTAGAAGGGGAATGTTTGAAGGTCCCAAGTGAATTTGGTCCATGGAATCATCAGATCGGGCTGGGAGTTTTCCAATAAGAGTGATTGTGGAAATTCCATCTGTTTGCCGATATTCTTGATTATTCTTATTGCCCACTGATCCTTTGCTACTGTTTGTTTTTGACTTGGCTTTTGTTGGTTTGTCTGTATCACCCGCAATCCTCTTGCGATACGAAGCCCTGTGAATCCTTTTGGCTCGTACCTTCGAATGGGATAAATATAAATACTGTAAGTTATAGAACAACCTATCTAGATTCAAAGGCTTTTATTCTGAAAAACAGAAATGTATCTAAAGAACTGGCGTCTTCTAGCCCACTAATACATGTACCTCTCTCCACTCATCCACTCTCCAACATTAAAGCTCTACTTCATTTATCTCAACCCAACTTCTCTTTGCAATCTCGTTCCAACTTAAATACCGCTAATACAATGGAATTTGATATGTTTCCCGTATATATACTCTGGTAACTAATACAACTCCACTCCCAACTTTAAGTAATTCCTGTCTGGTATCAGCTCCTCGCGAATAGATCCTGGTTAGGTTAGGATAAAGCTGCAGTTCAGTTTGAGTAAGTGATGGATGAAAGTTGAAAGTTCTTGCTATATGTAATTACTGTGAGGGTATACTGAGCTTAGTGAGCTGGATGTGGTGTTGTAGGTACTAGCTTCTTTTAGTAGTACGGGAGCAGAAAGGGAAGGGGTGGGAATATAGTACAGAATTCCATATCATCGATTACTACTGACCTATCAACCATACCCACCTCATTCAACCCCCCATTCCATCGCCCATAAATTCATGTCTAGATAATGAATCGTACGTAAGAAAGAGAGAGGTCGTGCTCTCTGCTTTTGTACTTGTAGATCTTCTTGAAATGGAATAGAATGGTCTGGAATACTAGTCCGCGCGTTTCTATGGTCTTAGGGGGGTTTTCGCGATGTGGGGTTGTTGGTTGTGGATTGTGGAGTGTCACGGGGGTTTGAGGGTAGGGAGAGAGGGAGAGGGAGAGGGAGAGGGAGAGGGAG